CGATTTTCAACAGAGTACTGAGTTGCCATCAAGTCTGCTAAGGCTCTAGCTCGTCCAAGCTCTGCAACATAAAGAGCAGCCTTAGGATCTCCAGCAGAACGAAACAATTCACTGAGCTGCTGGTAGGGAAAAACATGCATGTCTGCGAAGGATATCTTCATTTCATCACTGTCTTGAAGAAGACCTCGCATTTTTTCGGATTTTCCAATACTTCGAAACAAAAGAGAAAAAGCTTCCTGAAGGTTGTTTTGTGATAACTTCGTCAATGTAAGACTACAATAGCCATGAAACTCTGTTTCAAGGTCTCCGATATTTTCACTTATTGACAGTGCCTTCGCAAGATATGCTTCGGCCACGTCATGATCGCCGCGAGATTCAAGCACTTCCCCAAGGCTGAGGTAAGTTTTTGCTTCTACTTCTCTGTCACCAATTTCAAGTGCAATCGCAATTGCTTTCTCAAAGCAGGCTTGAGCTTTATTTTTACCACCAAGGGATTTATGAAAACGACCTTCCATTGTGTAGCAAGCTGCCTCTGCTTTTTTATCACCAATTTCAATGCTGATCGCAAGCGCTTTGTCATAATATTCTTTAGCCTTGACATATAGACCGAGAGAATGAAACACATTTCCTATGTAGCCATAACATATTCCTTCTCCTCGTCTGTCACCAATTTCCATGCTGATCACGAGTGCTTTTTCATAATATTCTCTAGCCTTGATATATTCACCGAGAGAATCAAACACATTTCCTAGGTTTCCATACGATGTTCCTTCTTTCGCTCTGTCACCAATTTCCATTTCGATCGCAAGTGCTTCTTCATAATATTCTTTAGCCTTGACAAATTCACCGAGAGAAAGAAACACATTTCCTAGGTTTCCATACAATGTTCCTTCTTTCGCTCTGTCACCAATCTCCATGTTGATCGCAAGTGCTTTTTCATAATATTCTTTAGCCTTGACATATTCACCGAGAGAACGAAACACACTTCCTAGGTTTCCATACAATGTTCCTTCTTTCGCTCTGTCACCAATTTCCATTTTGATCGCAAGTGCTTTTTCATAATATTCTTTAGCCTTGACATATTTACCGAGAGAATGAAACACATTTCCTAGGTTTCCATACCATGTTCCTTCTCCTTGTCTGTGACCAATTTCCATTTCGATCGCAAGTGCTTTTTCATAATATTCTTTAGCCTTGACATATTCACCGAGAGAATGAAACACATTTCCTAGGTTTCCATACCATGTTCCTTCTCCTTGTCTGTGACCAATTTCCATTTCGATCGCAAGTGCTTTTTCATAATATTCTTTAGCCTTGACATATTCACCGAGAGAATGAAACACATTTCCTAGGTTTCCATACCGTGTTCCTTCTGCTTGTCTGTCACCAATTTCCATGCTGATCGCAAGTGCTTTGTCATAATATTCTTTAGCTTTGACATATTCACCGAGAGAATGAAACACAGTTCCTAGGTGTCCATAGCATGTTCCTTCTCCTTGTGTGTCACCAATTTCCATGTTGATCGCAAGTGCTTTTTCATAATATTCTTTAGCTTTGACATATTCACCGAGAGAATCAAACACAGTTCCTAAGTTTCCATATCATGTTCCTTCTTTCGCTCTGTCACCAATTTCCATGCTGATCGCAAGTGCTTTTTCGTAATATTCTTTAGCCTTGACATATTCACCGAGAGATTCCAACACATTTCCTAGGTTTCCATAGCATGTTCCTTCATTCGCTCTGTCACCAATTTCCATGCTGATCGCAAGTGCTTTTTCATAATATTCTTTAGCCTTGATATATTCACAGAGAGAATGAAACACATTTCCTAGGTTTCCATAACATTTTCCTTCTATTGCTCTGTCACCAATTTCCACGCTTATCGCAAGTGCTTTTTCATGATATTTTTCAGCCTTGACGTATTCACCGAGTAAAGTAAACAGATTTCCTAGACCTCCAAAAGCGATTGCTTCTCCTCTCCTGTCACTTGTTTTTTGCATGACAAGGATTGCTCTCCCATAAAGTTCTTTTGCCTCAGCATACATACTTTGACTCTGATATATCTGTGCCAGTGCTATGCTAAGCACACCTTCTTGACCTGCATCACAACACTCGTGGTGAATGTTGAGAAGTTTCCTGCCGCAAGCTATTGCATTCGAGTGATCGCTAACACGGCAGTACGCCTTAAACATGGTATGGTAAATTTTTCTGTACATTCTTTGCTGTAATGGCTTTTGTACACTCAGCACTTTATTACTGAGCAAAAGTAAGCTTTCATTGCATAACTCGATGGCTTTTAGAGTACGACCGATGTTGAGAAGGAAATTAGCGACAAGGAGGGCTATACAGATGGCTTGCATAACTTCTTCTAAGTAATTCATGACGCTTTCCTCAGTAAGTCCTGTAACTGAAAATAAACCAAATAAGGGTGATTGTAGAATTTTGCCGTATTACGTAATGAGCTTTGTGTAATTACAAAGAAGAGTAAAGGGACTCGAAAAAGCCATGTTTTAGCAAATTAGCCTTCCAAACCTGTGCATTTCATCTTTAAGTCAGATGGACTAAAGAAATAAAAGGTAAAGGAGTGCTTGCTGTTAAAGGACCGAATTTATTTCGTGTGTACAAGTTCAATTTCTCTATTTTGTACTTGACATTTCCGATTCGTTCAAACCACAAAATGTTGACTATGAATGTACAAATCAACTTTGGCTACAGGAAACTTTTCATGAGTAAATTCAACTTCACTAAAAGTCAGAGTGATTATTCAGGTCCTTACGTGAATAAGCTTCTTAAACAGAGTTGAAGAATGATGTTTATGGTAAACGACAAATGGCGAAAATCGCGTCTTAATTTGTTTTCTTTCCTTACATGTACCTACAATCTTTAAATCAATCCAACACAAAAATAGACGAACAAATTTTTCTAGTCACCGCCGTATAAACGGCTAAGCATTTAGTCAGTGCAAAAGTCTCTCATTTGTCGTAAACGTTTTTTAATTACCACTCTATTATCATTAGGTTTTTCCTAAATTTCAAGGCGCGGTAGCATTTCGCTTGTAACTTAGAAGAGCTACTTTGAAGTATTTATACCTTGGCTAAACAATATTTTCGTTAGTTTAGTTCAGCTCGTAAAGAATATAAAGTTAAGGCTTGCAATTTAAGACAAGTTGTACTCACCTTGCCAATGTTCAGTGAATGTTGAAATAAAAGCCTGAACACCAGTTTGTATTCCTAGCATGGAGTGAACTTTACTGTCAGGTTTGTTTTACACTATTCGCTTTTGAAAGTAAAACACCGGATATCCGTAAATAATTCATAAAATCAGACGTTGCACGAGGAAAGTAGAAAATGAAAGTTTCAAGTTTGTCATGTCAGATTTTTCATTTTCCAAAAAAACTGAAATTTTGGAATGTTTGTCTCTAACTAGTAAGTATGATTTTGTATTTATTGTGAGATGGGCACGCATAATCCTCCATCCTGAATTGTTTACATAAAACGCATTAGTTAGCCGTTTAGAGACTACTGAAATTCTGCTCTGAATTAATCAAGTTTGAAGGCAAACTTTTTTGCGTTACCATTGCTTTTTTAAAGGTTTATTTTAAAAATGCATTTAGGGGCAAAACACTTTCCCAAAAATACGATATTAATTCGAATTAGAAACGGTCTTCTTGCAAACACAGTATTTCGCTTTTGAAGGAAAAAAGAATGATCCGAGTATTTATTGAAAGAAGACAGATTGCCATATGACGTCAATATGACGTGAAGATGTAGACAAACCATCCACAGTTTTTCTTTTTCCTTACTTTTTGGGGTGAGAAGCGAAAAGAGACGCAAAAACCAAAAATGTCACACATAAAATCGGAGGGGCGGCGACGGTGGGGTCTGGAATAGGGTTGGGGTGGAATGGAGAGGGCTGAGGAAAAGAGAGATACTAGTCTCGCCTCCTAATAGGCCAGGATCTCGACTCACGTGACACCCGGAGGAAAACTTGATTAGCGACAAGTCGGTACCCCACCGAGCAATCCGTACTTAAGATTATACCTGTTTGTTTAAGTACAAAGAAAACGATTAGGCGATGAAAACAAATTTTCTAGATAAACCACCGTGTTCTTAAAAACATTAACTCAAGAGTTCTGAATACCTAATGAACCTTTTCAGAATGTTTCGATGGTATTTCAGGCGGTTTGGTCGAGCCTTAGTTCGTATTTTAGCGAGACACAGTCGAGCCATTATACCCTTGGAGAGACCAAAAGAGTCTGATGTTTGTCGCTGAAGGGTAACAAAAAATAGGTATTTAACGTACCCAAATTCTGTCATGCGGCGACATCATATCAGTGATTTGATATTGCAGGTTCTCAGGACAGTAGACACAGCTTTTGAATCGCGACTTTGGCTAGGGTACCTGGTACAACAGTAAATCAAGATAATATGTCCGCCAGTTGACTCTATTCTCATCACCGGTCATGTTGTTAGGAGAAATTAGATATTGGTCAACCAGGCGCCTTTTCAAACAGCACAGTGACAAAGGATCATGCCTGCAACCAAGGGCGGATGATCCATGAACCTCTTCCGGGGTAAATTGGGAATGGTTATTTTAAGCACTTAACTGCCTGACTGATGAAACATTGTCCCATCTGTTGGTTTTATTTTCGTGAGGTCGCTGTAAAGTAGTATGCGAAAAAAATGAGGTTGCCACGCACGAGGTATGAGGTCACGACAACGTGAGCAATATGACACTAGTAGTACATGCAACGAAACTGAAAATAGATTTCAAAAAATTATCATTGGGAACTGCCAATCGTTTTGTTAAATCATCCTCACTTGTTGTAACGAAAACCGTCAAACAAATAAAAGCTTCTGGATAGCTTATGTTAAAATTGAATCATTTTATTTCAATAAAAGTGGTCGCAAATTATATTCTCAGTCTTATTACTGATCTTTGGATTCTTTTTTTTGTTCTATTGATTTTAAATAGGTTGTGCTGTCATCCAGCAAAAAAAGAGACACTTCGTTTCGTGTACACGATGGAAGCGCTATCGTCAACTAAAACCACAGCGTCCTTGCAGAGTTCTCCACACAGTGGGCGCAGTTTGATCCAAGCTCAATCGCTTACATTTAATATAGGCGGTACTATTGAGTGACAGTAACACAGCTAGTCACACTAAGACAGCCACATTAAATATTCTAACGCTGTGATCCAAGCCACAGCTTGCAGCTGTAAACATGAGCAAACTTCAGAGTCTCTTTTTTGTATCAATCGCAACCGTCGAACGGCAAGCACGTGACAAATCCTGCATGTTATGAGGCACATGACGTAAAGGATAAATTCCGTTGAAAGAGAAACAAAAAATTAAACAAAATGCAGGTGATATTTTTTCAGTACAAGCTAATCCATTAGTTTTAATAAACGTACGAAAATTTACGGAACAGAAACGTATTCCGTAGCTTTCGAACGTAGATAGGTTTTCATAAACAAGGATACAATTGGTTCAAAGCTTGCTCCTTCTTTTAGACCAATCCCCAATACTAGTGTTACCTACGTAGATTAACAAGAGCTAGTTAGGTGTTAAATTAATCACCAGTTAATTAATTAATTGTTAATTAATAATTATTAATAGTAAAGCTAATTAAGACATATATTATCTAATTGTAGGACGTAGGTGTAAACAAGCTAAGACAACTCAACAGCTAAATAATGACCACATACTACCTGGAGTTTTCAGTGAGCTGTGGTGCGATATCTACAGCTGTAGCCGGTTCACCAACATCTAAGGGACTGGAAACCGCTTGCCAGGCATCTTTAGTAGGGTCTTTATAACCCCACATAATAACCTACGGTAAATAAAAACAACAGTGGTATTAGAACTCAGTATGAGCAACAACAACAACGCACTGAAGATCACAAGGGGTGAGGAGGGCGGCNGGGGGGGGGGGGGGGGGGGGGGGGGGGGGGGGGGGGGGGGGGGGGGGGGGGGGGGGGGGGGGGGGGGGGGGGGGGGGGGGGGGGGGGGAAATCGCAGGTCCAGGGTCCCGGATCGAGCTTACGTTTTTGTCCCGTGAAGCTGTAGCGAAGTACTTGTCATCTCCACTCCATGCGCATGGCCAAATAACTATGGCATGTTGATTATTTTTGTCACTCCGAGCCGCGAGTCTGAACAGAGGTCCTGTAATAAGAAAACAAATCCCATCACGTTAGTTACTCTCTGTAATTAATAGAATTCTGCTTGAACACTAGTGCAAATGCTGTAACCTGATTGGCTGAGCCAATGCACACTATTAGTAGTGTGCAGTGGCTTGGTGTGGTTTGTACAGCACCGCAAATGATCCCCGACCGGAAATGATCCCCAGACCGAATATGATCCCCAAATTGGACCGCAAATGATCCCCGACCGCAAATGGTCCCCAGACCGAAAATGATCCCCAAATTGGACCGCAAATGGTCCCCAGACCGAAAATGATCCCCAAATTGGACCGCAAATGATCCCCGACCGCAAATGATCCCCAGACCGAAAATGATCCCCAAATTGGACCGCAAATGATCCCGCCGGAAAACGAGGAACGGCATGGAGTTTGCTTCCATGTTTTTATTTATTCCTTTCATTTTCATCATCCAAACGATAAATGAAAAGAAAAAATACTGACAACGTAAACTACAATTTAAATATAATTCTCATGATAAATACTTCCATCTCATTTTCTCTTGACAATTCTACTAAAAAATCACGAAAAAAGGTCGTCAACAGCGATATCATTTCTCAATTGGCTCGATATACAACAGTGCTTAATGCTACCATGACGAAGGCATAAACAACTTGTATACATTTGTGTTAATACCACCAGTAAGAGTGATCGTGAGTATTCATGACCTTTTAGTCCTACGTATGATATTCTGTGAACTAGAAAGTCCGCATCTCAACTCACTCTAAGCCGGTTTGTCTTTCGCATCTGCAATTTGCAGCCTGAAATTCCATACTGAAGATGTAAGCGTGTAGTGAATCTGGACAGGGGCGCTGATTGGTCAACTTGCATAGTATGTTGAGCAATCTAACTCTTACCTTCATTACCCGTGGGTATCATATGCGGAAAACCGAGAAACCGGATATCATTACGAACTAAAAGTAGAATGGCAGCCGTAAGCCGTTTTCGTGTAAGATTTCCAGATCAACGAAGTCTTGCTTCACGAACAACCTTAACCTGATACATAGGTTACCACTGCAACCCGATATCTGCTAAAATTTCTTGCTACTGATTTTCAAAATCGATAACAAGAGTACCCTAGGTATCAGAGGTTTTTTTTATTTTGCGTGATTAACCAAAATCGGAGACCGCACTTGAAAAGTCTCTAGTACTCAGGGTATCACCAAACGTGCAGGCGAGAAAATTAGACACGATTTAGAAATTGACATGCACGCAGAATATCGAGTGACTGATCTGACTTTTCCGTTCACAATTTTCGCTTCGGTTAAGTTGTTATGAAATGTTATGGTGATATATAGGCAAAGCCGATTACAAGGCATTTCGCGGAGCTTTTACGGTAATCTTTCCGAAGACTATTTATCCTGAGAATTATATCTTTATAAAATATGGTCAGTTATGACTTGTTTCTGTTTAGGTTAAAAATTGAAACCTCGACACGAAGAACAAACTCCATGCCATTCGTCGTTTTCCGGCGGGATCATTTTGCGGTCCACATCGGGGATCATTTGCGGTCCAATTTGGGGATCATTTCCGGTTTGGGGATCGTTTGCGGTCGGGGATCATTTGCGGTCGGGGATCATTTGCGGTGCTGTACAGGTCGACAAAATTGCAACATTGCAAAATTGCAAAATTTTGAAAGAACATTTAGAAACAAATGGATAATCATATTCCTAACAAGACAAAAAGAGGGTACTTACGGTTTCTTAAATTTATATCTTGAAGTTTAATTCACATAAAATACTTGAAAGTACTGGTGGGAAGAAACCGATGACGAACTTGTACTTTTGTTTGTACAATTTCTCTGAACTTTGAATTTTATTTTCTCGAGCTTCCTATGGTAATTGATTTTGGTGCTATTTCAGGCAACTATTTATATTTTTAGCTTTTAGAAAATGCAAAAAGGAACAGTAATATATTTTCGTCCATTAAAAACTGAAATTGCTCGATTTCCTATCAGGTTTCGTCTTAAGATGACGCATTGCTCACATAATAATACACAGCAGAAAGTTTATCTGAGCGATTTCGCAGAAACATGCCCGC